TTTTTTTTTTTTTTTTTATTTGAACCAATGATGTGTATATTTGCTTGTTTATTTGTTCAATTATTAAATTTATATCACTAACGCAAAATCATACCTGAAGCATCCCTTCAACAGAGAATATGTGCGAAGCCTTGAAATTCTTCCAGAAATCCTCCTGACTTTGGCCCGATTCAACGATGATCAGAATGACATTTTTCGGAAGAGGGCTAACAGTTTCGATGGCCATTTCTTTTACAAAGTCAACGTCTTTGAATTTCGGGAATCGATCGTCACTCTCGACGTTCTCCATCGTAAGATCGAATCTTTTCTCACGCTTTGTATCCGCGGGGCTCGTTCGTTCGACGATCTTCGTCGACATCTTTGTATCTGAGATTTGCAGACCTTTGTCGATACCAGTCACATCGATTTTCGGACTGGAAACGTGATCCGCCGTAACTTTCTGCTCGGTTTCCAATGATGGGACTACGTTCCAGGTGGCCGGAATATTTCCTAAAGAAAGTTCACAATTTTAGTATGATATGAAGCAGCTGCGTGAAACAATTCGAACGTGTAACTTTATAATAATTTATCAGAATAGTAGGAATGTGCATGTCAAATTTTCTTTAATCTTCATAAGATTGTAGAATCCAGGTGGAAGATGATGAAAGATATGAAGCAAGTGCTTGGAATTTCCTTTCATAGTTTCAATGTTAATGAATGAAAAATGATTTTTGTAATGAAGTTATAATTATGAATTAAATGTGAAATAATTTGGAAATATAATAGTGTTAAGATATTCATATAATTTTAGTGCAAAATGGCTCTATAAAATAATTTGCAAATATAATTTTGCTATACAACAGTATCAAGATGGTAAAAATTATCTTATAACTTAATACTTTAAAAATATTATTTTGATAGTATTAACCCTCAAGTGATATTGTTGAATAATAGACAAATTATTCTGATGATTACAAAAACTTAGAATTTAATTTTAATTTTATTGTGCTTTACATTCTCCACAATGAAAATTAATAATAAGATTAAATTAAGCAAAAAATTGCAAGTTCAAGGAATCTAATCGTAAATTTTTATGACTTCAGTTAACATCTGAGATAAAGAATTCTCTTGCATTAATAACTATTACATTAAAAATATAATTTTAATATAACGTAGCACAAAGATTTCGGAAAATATTCATTAATATGTTCATTATTGAAAACGATATAATCTAGAAAGAAATGATATATGAATTTTGTAAATATTATATATCGTATTCCGATATTATAAACGATATCTGAATATTGAAATATTGTATACTTGAATATACTGACGTATGAACATTATTATACGAATATTTCTATACATTACCGAAGCGTTCAGGATTAAATCCAAAGCAAGACAGCGTCATCGACAGCACTGTGCCCAACAAAACTGTCAGTAAATGTTCTTGCAACATGTTGCCTCCTGAAACGAACATTTAAAATTTACATTAACTAAAAACACACACGTGTTAACTTGTGAATAGAAATTGTGACGTTCTTCGTATCTTGGAAAATCACCTTCAACTTTGTCGAAATGGCGAGATGTATTTCAAAGCTTCAAAATATAATAGAAACCGTATTTTTCAGTTGAAAGATCTGCAAACGATAGATATGTCCGCTCGCTTTCCACGAGAGAAGAACGACGGATGTAAATTGAACAAAACACGGTGCTGGAACAAACAAAAGAGTGTTAACTTCCGGCGGAACGATTGTTTTTCACGACACTCGAAACTGCTCTCTTCTTCTACGATCAATATTTCATATGATTTATATTTTTGAGAATACTGGATTAAAGAAACAGAATCTCGATGGAGGATTGTTTTGCCTACCAAATTATTATTAAAGACATCATACTTTCGGTGTTTTGTTTAGGGATTATTCGCTAAACTTACTCGCAAATTTTCATATGTTGCAAACATGCATAATTTGTATAAAATACGTACATAAAACATCCAAAGAAGAGTGTTTGCTACGATCAAATTGAGAATTTTTATATAAATTGCCATTCTTGTAAATCTAATTAAATAAATATAGAATAAATATATGCTTTATCTACTTGTATATTTTTGCTTATTATGTGTATGTATTCTTAAATCACAGTTACAATTGTTATAATATTTATTATATATCTTGTTTAGAACATTTTTGTTAATTAATTTTATCTTCTCTCTATTATTCTCCATTGATGTCTGTCTTTTTAATACAGTATTTCTGAGTGAGATAATTTATTAAGAATGAATCTTCGCTCCACTTCCGGCATTGATGTCTCTGCAACTTGCATCTTCCACGACGGAAGGCAAATCGCAGGGAGAACATTATCTCGAATATTTTTAAATGACTTGCATATGTCTGCCATTGCCTTTCAAAGTAATTTCTACATATTTAATTTGAATAAGAAAACGTTTCAACCTTCTCGTAAGTGAAATGTTCTGTTCTTCAATGAAATCGGAATTTCTTTTTCGATGGACTCTGGGCGAAAGCGATTTTCTGAATAAATTTAGGCAAGATCAGTGGAATGGAATACACAGTGCAATGGAAGTTTCCATTTCTCTTTGTGTTTATCGGAGAATAAACCTTGCCAGAAGGTGTTTTAATTAATCATAACTTCGGTATCACGGAGTCTTCTGCGATCACTCAAATGATGTCAAGGTTGCTTGAAGCAACTTCTGTAATAAGCATGTACGAACATCTATAACATACCCTAGATACTAACCGCTCTTGAGATTTTCTTCCAGCTTTACGATCGAAAGGACGAGAAGCTTTGGGGAAAACAACGTTTTCGCATAAATAGTAGATGAAGCAAATGAGACCAAAGACTTTTATCGCGGCAAGTTTCTTGGGAAAAGAAATCGAGATTAAGCGAGAATCGATACATCGGTGTCGATCGTTTCTTCTGTCTTCTACGAAACTAAAGATGTTGGCAGACGAATGAAATTTTTATTACAAGGAAGAATTAAATAATTAAATAGTAATTTTATATATGTAGATTTAATATAATGTAGATTATTCTTCGCATAGTGTAAGGAAAGCATGTATAATAAAATTTAGGTAAAGTAATGATAATTATAATGATGCGAGACATTTTGTTTCTACATTGTATTGCAAGATGAAATTTTCATTATAAAGGAAAATGAAATATTAATTAATTAATAAAGTTATATATATATATTAAATATATATATAAATAAATTATATATTATATATTATATAAATATATAATAAAAATATATATTAAAATAAAATAATAAAGATTAGCTTAATATAATAAAGCATGGCATAATGAAATTTAAATAATTGACATTGAAAGTATAAAAAAAATTTTCATTATAAAGAAGGGTTAATTTTTTTATCATATAAATTGGAAATAACATAAATTACTTTTCTTACAAAGATACATACGACATGAAATTTAAGTAAAGCAGTTCTGATTTATTAGTTCACCGATGGTTGACTCATCATGATGCATATTAACTTAAAAATGAGGGTTGTAAGCAAATTATTGATACACGTAGAACTACATATGCATGTTCACATTGTAGTCTTTCAATATTTGCTATCACGTCTTTACATTGACAACTGTCAAACAATGACGTTGACGATCTTTATTGTTAAAAAGAAAAAAAATTCCATACAGCAACCCTAGTATATTTATTTCATCAAAGTATAAAGTATAATTAAAAATTAATTTTCTTTTTTTCATTCTACAAAATTTCCTGGTACTAACAGAACAGAAAGTTCGAAACAGACAAATATTTTGCTATTTAAAACAGTAGGCAATTTATGCTATAATCATTGTTACAACGTAATTCGATAGTTTCTGAAGAAACTTCGTTACATTTATTTCTCTTGCGAATTGCAGAGGAAAATATGTAATAGTAAGCTTTCAAAGAATTATTTTGACTATTCAAAATGGTCAAAAATCGAATAATTTATTTTTTACTTAAAAATAATACTGTTTCCTTTAATACTTTTATATAAACATAAACTGATTGATATAAATTTCGTGTTTGCAATCAACATGTTAATCATAACTTCAAAAATTATGATCATTTTAATATTTCGACAAATGTTTGAACGAACATCGTGTAGATTAAACTGCAAGTTGTTAATTTTCAAGAAACAAGGAACTTCTGAGATCATTCAAAAAACTGATACAACATAATGAGAGAAACATAATTTAAGTTCAGAATGCGATAGCAAAATACTAGATAGCAAAAAGACGCAGAATCTTACGGAATAATTCTATCGCGCGTATTGTGAGAGACATTTTCTTTATATCGATAAAACAAACAGGGTATTCGTTGACTATAGCAAGAATTGCTGCAGTGTTCTTCATCGAACCATGCTTTCTTTAGAATGTAACATTTCAATCTGTTCAACTTTGTAGCGAACTTGATGCTCCTCTTGCGACATAATATATACTAATTTCAACAACAGAAGGAAACAACAAAATCCGATCTGCATTTTAATAGGGCGTAAATTAAGCAAAAGGATCTTGAGTTTAGAAAATTTTCAATCTCGATGAGAATCTACAATATTTCAAGAAGAATAAATTCTCGAGCAACTGCGACCCTATTGAAACCAAAAATCAATCTGTTTGCTCCGTGTGCGACCAAGTTTTATTTCAATTGTTGAAATTAACATGAATTTCCGATGCACCCGGTTGCAAAGTTTCAAACCACCCAATTAGAAAGTTACAAGTTCCCCGACCTAACCTAGCTAACGGAACGTTCTTTAGAAAATAGAGAACATCCGCGGGGAAAGCCCGGTTTCCTCGATGAGTATCGCGTAGGCAGCGCAAACTTTCTAGAATAAGCGTGTTCGAGACCTTCTTATCGGCCGCGTATGCAGCGTATTTTCCTGCCGGCCTTACTCGGTGCACGGTGGTGGTTGCCAGTCGTCGAAATCTGAATAATTGATACGATTAGGAAGCTTCGTGTCGACGGTAGAAGAAACAACATGGCGAGGCGGCACGAAGCGGCAAAGCCGGCGGGAAAATACGCTCGAGGAACGTCTGCGCTTGGCCGCTATGACGCCGATTGGTCCACGTTTGGTACCCTATCGCGTTGGAGGGGTTTCACCGTGGCGGTTAACCACCGCCACCAGGGGGGTAGGAAGAAAAGAAAGAACGGAGAAGAACCCCTTGCTCGCCGGCCCAGTGACCATCCATCCACTGGTCGTTCGTGTCTCAGTTTTCCTTCGGCATTCATCGCGTTTCTCACGGCGAACTCGCGTCGAGTTCGCGTTTTCATCATCGTGGATTTGAACCGCGTGGCCGCGTACCCTTTT